ATGGCATCCAGCGAGTTGCTGATGTGAAAACGTCTAAAGGGGTTGTCCGGCGAGCCATTCACAAGCTCTGCTGCCTGCCGGGATCAACCACTGGGGCAGCAAGTCCACCTACTCGAGCTCCTTCAGTCGTCGAGGGGGGGCAAGATGTTAAGAATTAACTTTCGCCCCTGGCAACACCGCGAAATGTCAAATCACAACTCTTTTGAAACCCGATCGACCCGATTGTTTTGTATCGAATCAAATAAAAATAGTATTAAAAATCTACAAAATAGTCGACCTATTATTTAAAGAAAATCCCAGGAGTTAGCGGATTCAATTGCAATATATGAATGTAAAACTTTCAAACATGAGAAATTTTATACAACACTGGAGGTTTATGTTTTAATCAGAAGAACGTGGAGAATCCAAAGAATTTCCTTTAATTAATTGAAGCAGGGTCTTTTGTTAGCATTTATATTGAATAATCTTTGAACCGCTAATTGCGAATTTTCAGAGACGCTGAAAATGCGATATTTAATTTGCAAAAACGATCTTATGGTGAAGGTGATGATTTCATCAAATAAATTTACCGATATTCTTTCATATTTTTCCTTTTATTAGTTAATTACATACCACAGGGGCACTTTTTATGTATTAAAGGTAAAAAGAAATAATAATTTAATTTGCCTGCAAATGGACGTAATTATTACCTTAGTACGGATAACGTTTGCCTCAATCTTAACTAGCTTTTATGCTATTCAGACCATGGACCAATGTGAACACGATGGACCATACTGCGTCACACACACACACACACACACACACACACACACACACACACACACACACACACACACACACACACACACACACACACACACAACACACAACACACAAGACATTGGAACATGGACTGTAGTGACATTTTGAGAAATTATCTGCAAGAGCTTTTCCTGTGTTATCGCGTTGTGTCAATTCTTTGTCGACAACTTGTTCGTCCACAACTTGTTTTGGTGAAAAATTGAAAACTAATTAAGGTAAACTAAACTACTGATATAAACTACTGGGTGATTGAGGTTTTTAAAATGACCTACTTAATCTCCAGGAAGCACTAATCATAAATGTTTGTCAATTCTAAAACCACTAATATCACACGAGAAAAATTTCGGACGTAGAATTAATGAGTTTGCTTGTTTTGCTTGTTGTGAGTTCTTTGTAGACTTTTTTATTTTATTTACTTATACATGCTTATATATGTTGATACAAGTCTTGATATCAGTTATCTTAACGATACAATCGAGTGGAAAGATACGTGATGCGGTTGAGTGATGTTCTCTTGCAGCCTGCATTAACGAGAAACTTGCGTTATATTCGAAGCGGCGCGGTTCAGTTCAACGGTGCGGTTTTTGCTTGCCACATTCGGTTGGGTTGAATTATTCAGCGTTAACTTCACCGCGTTTAAATCAAACTCCGCGACACGGGGGGGAGAGCTGGTGGGGGGGGGGGGGGGGGGGGGGGGGAAGAGTGAGAAATGGGCCTCGTGCCGATGCAATTGTTACGAATCTCTTTCCGATGCGAACGGACATCACGTTATATCCTCAAATAAACGTCATATCCGAGTTTGGGGGCTACAATGCTGGATCGCCAGTAAGTAAGGCCACATAACAGTCTTCGCTGTTGCACGAATGGGTAGAATGGTTTAAAGCCCGGTTTCAAAATGTATGAGAATGCTCCATGTATTGACAATTTGTTGAAAGTGAAAGACAGGAAGAAAGAAAACACATTTGTTTACCAAAAAAGGAACGCACACAACAAAAGAGAACAGAAAAACTAAATTCTAAAAAAAAAACTAGATATCGAACCATTCATTGATTAATACGTATTTACACACAATTATGTAACCACTCGGTGACTGAGCACTGTATTGTGCGAACATTTGGCGCGGGTCAAATAGAGTTTATATAAACTACTTATGTGCAGTTAGTTTCCTTTATCTGTCAGTTTCTTTTGTATACGCACTTGTGTTGCCGTGCGCTCTTGTCTTATATTCATCTTCTCATGCCATACATTATCATAGTACATTTATTGTTGTTTGTACTTTTCATTTTGCCTTTTATTTTGTGGGCATTTTTCCTTTGCACGAGATAATGTCGCTCTTCTTTTATTCGTTTCACTCATTTTCGGCAACAAAGGCAACGGTACGGTCGCTGAAATGTATTATTAATTCTCCACCCTCCTCTCCCCAATCCTCGCCCGCTACATATAGTATATTGTCCGTGTCGATAAGATTAATAACGGACGGCCGTCCGCGCCCAAAACAATTCACCAGTATCGCTCGCCGCAACGCTTCGGCTGACAATTGATTTCATGTCCCGACCAAAATTCATAACACCGTCTATCCAAGTCAGAAATACACGTGGGCCACGGGATTAATTCGATGACGTAATGCGAATAAGACTAAATCGAAATAGATCTACATAAAAAAAGTGTGTGCGTGTAACCTTTACGCGCGATTGCAGTAAAACTTCTTTGGCCTTGACGGCATATATCACTGAAATGATTAAATATTTAGTAACGTCATAAGTATATGTCATATTTTAAAAATATGGCATATACTTATGACGTTACTTCCGTCAGAAAAAATCTGAGTTACTCCCTAGTCGCGCCTAAAGAAGTTTTACTTCAAAAACAAATCGGAACAAGAATTAGCAAAATTACTTAATATGTAGTATTTAAGAACGTATTATTTGGTAGTATAATCGTGGTTTTTATCTAAAAACTAGTATTTCAATTGCGACAAGCAAACTATGGTTGAGTCTACTTATTTTATTAAGTTGCGTGAACGCAAGTTGCAAGAGCGCTAATCAATTCCACATTTGGAGCTGCGTCTGAGAGGTACGTACCTACGTAGCGTATTCAAAGTTGGTCTCGAACGTGAAACTTAGTCGAACAAGTCGAATTGGGTCGATCCGAAAGGGTCTGATCGCCTACAGAAATTTGCGGGTCATTGTGAAGACGGTTTGAATATAAAATAGTCTGTCATGTTGTGCCCTCTCTCTTTAGACGGACTTTACATCTCTGCAAATTTTTCTAGACGTGTAATGACTTAAATCTAGTCAAGTAAGTTTCCTCGCACTAGTTGTCTTCGCTTGTGGCAATGAGTTACATTAGAGATACATTACATTGTTTTTTTCTTAAAGTATATTTAATAGAAAGGGCAATTTCATTGAATATCATAGCTATAAGTAGAATTGAAGGATCTCATTAGCTTTATGCTAAGTTTGTTCGATTGTCATAAACTTAGATTCCAGCTTTTTAACATATTATTAACATTATCACAATTCTTTTCATAGTCTAAAAACTTCCTGTTATTGCTTTTATTGTTCCTATGCACTTTGTTTCATATTATTTATTTTTCACCTACCGCTGTGTGGTTTTATAACATAAGGAATACAGGTTACATACATACATACAATTACAGACATTGCTGTGAACCGTTCAATCATGTTCAGCGTTGGATTTTTCCGTACCAAGCGTCCCTTATGGCTCGGGTATTGAACCCGAGACTGACGTCCGTCGCTCGCAGAGCTTCGGCTACGTCACGCGACGTTCCTTGAATTTATTTAGTTACCCAAGTTGTGCTCTAACGCTATTACCAGATGCGAAAGTAACTTTTGTCGTCGCTAGGCCGTGGCGCGTGGCGTATCCGATAAAGGTAGACGTCGATGTTCAACTTTTATTGTTTTTCGAGTCTCGCGTGGATGTTTAATGGATTTTTTTACTGCGTTCGCTTAGAATGTTGTCGAGTACACCCGTACACAATCACAAAGGTACGAACCATGAATCATTTTGTGATTAAATTATAACCAATGGGAAACTGCTAAAATAACTGAGATTTTTTTCTTTTTACTATTGATTTTTGTTTTTTTTTTTCATAAATAATTGTTTCCATTTTAATAAGTATTGTTTGCTCCTAAACTTTTGTCAATTATACATTTCAACTGTATACAGAGTGGCTTTTCTAAAGGTGCCCAAATTCACATAGGCGATTCAGACTCGGTAGTATAATCGTTTATTGTAATAGAAACAAACTTATTTTTTTTTATTTGCCATTCCATTCCCTAAAAACTTGTTGACAATGCGGTAGTCATTCATAATTGCGTCGTATACTTTTGAAACGAAATTGTGTGCGTGTTAGTTATGAATGATCGTGCGTAAAATAAATGAGTTGCCCATAAATCACGCACTTTTTGAGATAATTTCAAATGAATGATTTTAAATATTTATCATTTTTTTATATAACATTATTTATGTTTAGAATTTAATAAAAAAATGGATACACTTAGAAAAGCCTCCCCGTATATATTACGCTCCCTAGAACGTAATATATACTGTAAGTAAGACAGATGTGTTTTATACGTTTGTAAAACAACTGGGTTTTGTTAGGCTAGGGCTGTGGATTATGTTGCTTGATGAAACAAAATCAAAGAATGAAAAAAAAAAGTATATACTCTCTCCCACTATTTACTGATAATTTCGTCAAAACGGCAGATAGTCAGGTAACCATAAAGTTTTGATTTTTATATTTTTAATTTATGCCCTGACAACAGGTTTTGACCCTGACAACACCGCAAATGTTTGTAACTAGCAACTATTAAGGTGCTAGTTACAAACATTTGCGGTGGTAGGGCCACGCAGCAGCCTCGGCTGTTGCATGAATTGGCAGGCACGTCCGGGTAACCGGTTAACCTTACAGAAGTCCAGCGTAAAGTGAAGTAAGACAAATACTTTCGCGTTTCATCTGGTGAGTGAGGTAGCCGGAGCCCAATTTTCAAAAGGTTGTCAACGCATCTGTAACCCTCGGGTGTAGCAGATGTCCATGGGCGGCGGTATTCACTTAACATCTGGTGAACCGTCTGCTCGTTTGGCAACTTTTCACATAAAAATAAACATTTACATTAAAGTTCCATTTGGAAGTTGTCGAATTGTTGTTGACATTTGAATATTCAATAGGAGCACTAATGGAATAAAACGTAGTGGTCCAAAGTTCGAAGCGGCATCGGCACCTTGATATCTCGCATGCAATTAGGGCGAGCGCCAACGCCGACGGTCCGCTCTCCTGGTCGGCCTAATTGACCCTTGAACCGCGAGCTCACCTCGTTAGGCGATATCAGGATAACCCAACTCCCCGTTGGGTGGCGTGCTTCAGACATTTCAGACATGCACTGAAGAAATACTAACAAATTTCTCTAAGTGATTGGTGATAACATCCTGTGCCCTTACCCTTGTCCAGTTAATCCCTTCCTCTTTCCTCCTATGCGTCATTTTTAACCGACTCCGAAAAAGGAGGAAGATTCGCAATAAGGTTGTATTTTTCTTTGATGTCTCTTACCTCAGAAGCACTTAGTTTACAAACGACTTTGCAAATTCTTTTTGCGGCATAGCTTACATGTGCTCCGATATTAAATTCATCTGTATTGAACCTTGGTCTTCAGAGATACACTAGAGAGTTTGTCAGATATTTTAAGTCGGTTTTCTAAAAGGTGTTTGTTTTTTACATCAAATAGAAAAGAAACGGTCAGTTTAATATCCCTACCTACACGATCATCAGTTTTTTTCTGTTTAGAATAACGAATCCGATTTGTCTGCTGTACTTACCAGTGGTCCATTTTTATAACTTACTTCTTATACTTACTTTATGTATGACATAGTTACCGATACCCAATCCGATTGCACCGTTGCCATTGATTACAACACAGTATATACGTTTTACCGAAAGGCCCTTAAGCAAGCAACCTTAAACACACGCGGAGGTGCGCCGCGCCGCGGATCTTTCTCGTATCGCGACACGCGCGCCGGTTTCGAAACCTCGAGTCTACGACCCATATAGGATTTGAAGCGGCGACGGATGCTAGTGGGGGGCGTCATTAAAAAAGTCCTCGCGTTCGGGGGCGTCGTCACGGCGCTGCGCCGGCAGTAGGTGAGAAGGTCGGGGCGACCGCGAGGCGTGCTCGGGCCGGCCGTATTAGTGGCGCCTCACTCGGCCCACATCTCGAGGGGGCCCCAATGAGCCGGCGCGCGACCACGAGTGGGAACCCCCCTACCCCTAGTGTGGCGGAAAAGTGGACGCCGGATGGAGAGGAAGCGAACACGCAGTTCGCTAGTAAATAGCGAGCTCTTATTTTACTTATCCTTTAAACGAGCGATTCTTGTATATATAATCGGAATCTCGGAAACGGCTCCAGCGATTTTCATGAAATTTAGTATGTGCGTAGATTCGGGGGTGAAAAATCGATCTAGCTAGGTTTAATTTTTAGAAAATGTCCTTTTATCCCTGTTTTCAGGGAATGAAAAATATCATTCGAATATGACGGTAAAATTCGCCGCAAAAAAAATGTTATAATAAATAGCTTGGTCGGTAATCGGGCGGCCCTAAAACAGACGGCCGCGGTTCGTATCACGATCATTTACACACTTATTTTTTTTACTTTTTTTTCTACACTTATTTTCTAATTCTTATTTTCTATTTTCAAATTCCAAAATACATGATTTACCAAAAAAACCGAGCAAAGTTCGATCCTCCAGGTACTAGATTGTATATGATGAGAATTCGATGTAAGAAACGGTGTGCGGTTGTTGACATTATTTAATTCTTGGTTATTTTAGTGTTTAATACATTGTAGTAATATAATTTTAAAGTATTTGAACAAGTATATCATCAACATCATCAGCCGTAGGACGTCTACTGTTGAACATAGCCCCCTTGCAACGAGGGGTGTCAACGAACCAAAAGATGTAGCGTTGACGTAGGTGGGCCGACGAAACCGTAAGGAGTCGCAGGCAACCGGATGGCAAAGTGTCGTTCGAACAAGTATATCATCATCATCATCATCATCATCATCATTTCAGCCTGTTTGAGTCCACTGCACAAGTATATATTATGTGTAAATTAAATGTCTTTTTTTTATCGCACGAAATCGCAAAATGTGATAAGAAGCGCTATGTGAACGGAAACGTTTAAAAGTAAAAAAAAAAAAATAAGTGTGTAAATGATCGTGATACGAACCGCGGCCGTCTGTTTTAGGGCCGCCCGATTACCGACCGAGCTATTTATTATAACATTTTTTTTGCGGCGAATTTTACCGTCACATTCGAATTATATTTTTCATTCCCTGAAAACAGGGATAAAAGGACATTTTCTAAAAATTAAACCTAGCTAGATCGATTTTTCGCCCCCGAATCTACGCACATACTAATTTCATCGCAAGCCGAAAATCGCTGGAGCCGTTTCCGAGATTCCGATTATATATATATATACAGCGTGTCGTTACCATCGCGACAATAAATGAACACACGTATAACGCTATTTGCCAATAATCATAAAAAAATATTAACGTTAAACAAAATCCATAATTAAAAAAAAATATTTTTCAAACATGGTAAATATTGATGTTTAAATAATGTAAATGTTTAATACAATTTTAAAAAGTTATCCTCTATATGTGTGTTCATTTATTGTCGCGGTGGTAACGACACGCTGTATATGTATATATATATCTATATATACAAGAATTGCTCGTTTAAAGGTTAAGATAACAAAAAGTATTTCATAAGAATTGTTGTACATAAATGAACAAAAACTTAAAAAGCACTAAAACTTTTTTTATGTAATGCCCATGAACATTTGCAACACCCGTACAATTAGAAATAAATTGGGCCCCGGCTACCTCACTCACCGGACGAAACGCAGATGTATAACATTTGCCCTTCACGCCGGTCATTTGTGATGTCGTGGTAGTTAGAATTTGTGCCCCTTTCTGGATATTTCATTGTGATCACAGTAATAGCTTTCTTCGCAGTACCTGTTGCCATGATGAACTCGACGACTTCATCCCGTGTTGCGATCGTGTTAATTTATCTCGTGTTAATTCAATCTCAGGCCTAGTCATAATATTTTTACACAACGGTGATAGGGCCCCGCAGCAGCCTCGGCTGTTGCACGAATGGGCAGGCTCGTCCAGGTAAGTGCCACGACCTCACGGAAGACCGGCGTAAAGTGGAAGTATAATACTTTCGTGTTTCGTCTGGTGAGTGAGGTGGTCGGAGCCCAATTTCCAAAAGGTTGTCAATACATCTGGAACCCTCGAGAGTAGCAGATGTCATGGGCGGCGGTATTCACTTAACATCGGGTGAACCGTCTGCTCGTTTGGCAACTTTTCGCATAAAAAAAAACGTGAGCTAGTAACTAAGCAAGCTTGTAGTATGGTTAGTAGGTACTAGTAAACTTACTTAAACGTACTTTTCTTATAAATATACACTTTTTATAAGAAAAATACGTAGAAAAATACATACTCTATATGTATAAAATACAATATTTTCCGTCCGCCATTTTCTTTATTTATTTTTCCTAAATATTTCATATATATTTCTCTTTTAAACATCTCTAAAATACTTATTTAAAAGGAATACATAACCTTGCATTATTAACTCTTTAATGATCATCTATGAACTTTATACAAACATACGTTTAACGTATATTTGCTCAAACTTTGTGGAAAAAACTGGTTTTCAATATCGTCCTAAAAATTTTATAGTGATTTATTTTAGCATAAAGCGGGTTTGTTATCGTATTACTTTGTTGTTGAACAAATGGATCGTGTCGAAAATACACGCTAACGTTGGAGTTAAAACTAATACGCCATATTATCCGCTCAAAACTTTCTGAACAGGTAGAATTTAGAAAGGAATACATAACGTATCCCTCATTTTTTTTAATTTATCATATGTATTTTCCTCATGGTTTCAGATTTGGCTGTCCACTTCCACTTAATATTATTATATTAAAATAATTTTTATTATTATATTGTTAAAATGATGAACTTAAAAAAAAGAATGAAATATGCTCTATTTGTTAAGTTTATTTTATTCAGCATTATCAGAATATAAATTCATATATTTTCGTAAAAAATTATAAATGCTAGTGACGCCATGACAAATATCAGTGTTGCCAACAATATAGGACCTGATGCCGCTTATTCGTAACAATATATTAATGAAGAGTTTAACATTTACAAACACAAATTACAAAAAAAATAGATCGATTAATTCAAATTTCATTATTATAAGTATAACAAAATGAAAAAAAAAATCACTCTGTTTAGGTCCATTTATCATTTACTTTTCTTTTATATTTTCTTAGTGCGCTTTCACCAAGTGCAAGAACTATGCCAATTTCCACGGCACCTCCCCCATATAAGGGGCCAAGGAGAAGACGCTCCGGGCGCAAGGGGCTGTTTGGACGGCATTGACACACATTCATGAATAGAATCTTTAAACACCAGACTCTGGAAAGGCACACCTGAAGGCGGGTTAGGTTAGCCGCGCTGAATTCAATCAAACGTGCCAAGGCCGCGACCCGTTCAGCGTCTCAGATGGAATAAATGATACAGAAATACACACGTTCGGGCTGCTTCAATTTTGGTTCACGTGAAGCGATTTTTAACTTGCCCTCAACCCGGATTTTGGCTGTATTTTGTTGGAACGAGGCGGGATCAAACGAGGCTTGTGTTGATGTGCTTTTATCACTTCAACATGTTGACGTTTCGAAACGTAAACTGGGAATATCGTACATAGGCAATTTAAACCCTATATTTTAGGTTTGTTTGAGCTATATTTTGTATAATAAAATACACACAATATTGCATACGTTTCTGTGAAAAGTTGGCAAGCGATTGGGCTCTTTTTACCTCACTCACCAGAAGAAACGCAAATACTTAATGTTCAAGCCGGTCTTCTGGGAAGTCGTGGTACTTTCCCCTTATGAGCCTGCCCATCGCATCGACACATTCTGTATCAAGAAACAATCGTCTCTTCATCACGGTGTTAAGCGTTGGGGGAGGTTTCAAGCGAATAGTGCGTCCATATTATTAATAATTGTGAAGCGTATATATTTATGATTATGCCCGTCAATACTGCGATCTTGATGTATGTATATATATTTTCCGTAATAAAAACAGAATAACGCTTTCCGAGTCTGGCGCGATTCGGTTATCGTCGACCTAACAAGACTAAAAAATGTAAACTATCTTTTGAATTGTTGCCCGTTGCAGGTGGTCGTTTCCCAGGTCGCTTCGCCTGTCTAACAATGTGCGCGATGTTTCAATAGCGACAAAGTCACAAAGCTCCGCCGCCGACAGCGCCGTGTCGGCAATTACCGCAGCCCGCTCAAAGGAAACTTGTAGCTACTATGTTAACGTGGAATGAGCGTTTAACGTAAACGTAAAAAAAAACGACTTCAATCAGAAAATTAAAAACATTGTTAATACCTATATAGGATTCAATGATGGCCCTCGATTTCTCTGGGATGCCATCATCAGATCTGGGTTTCTTTATCATGGTACCACCCTTGGAACATCTCCTTTCCGATAAAAAAAGAATCATCAAAATCCGCTCATAAATGACGAAGTTATCCGCGAACACATAAAAAAAATAAAATATATACAGTCGAATTGAGAAACCTCCTTTTTTGAAGTCGGTTAATTAAATGAAAAAAATGTTTAACGTTACGTAAAACCTCGAAAGATTCCGCTCGGGATTATCCGATCCCGATTGACGTAGTGAATACCTAATGAACACAGTTACGTTATTGAGTGTGGGTTCAATCCCCGCTACTGGAAAAATATTGTTTGATGAACATATTGTTTTGTGGTGTCTAGGTGTTTTATATTACAAAAGAAAAGTAAAGTATATTTATCAGTGTGCCAAGTGCCCATAGCACAAGCTTTGCTTAGTTTGGGAGTAGATAATATAAAAATATCTGCTGAAAATATTTATTTATTATTGTTAATAAATTTGCGGACTTCGTGGCGCAGTTGCCAAGGTATTGTGTATATGTATTGGCTTCGGCGTCGGGGGTCTTGGACTCGATTCCCACACGGAGCAATTCTTTGTTTGTGTTTGTAAATTTTAAAAGAAAAGAACACTTATTGTGGCATAACTATAATAGTTAGACATATGCTATCGCGCCACTTTTTCTAAATAATGATGTGTTCTGCATATTCGGAGTCCCAAAAAGGATCCCTAGTTTTTTGAAAATGTAATATAGCCTATGTCATCACGTAGCTTCCCAACAGTGAAAGAAATTTTCATATCGGTTCAGTAGTTTCGGAGCCTATTCAATGCATACAAACAATAATATCTTTCCTCTTACATGGTATGCGGAGTGGGCGGTGTTAGGTTTTTTTTCGATACGGAATTTCTTGATTCGGTCGCCGCGCTCAAAGCCCGCGATAAAAGCTGTGCAATAGCTTAAAACGAAAACGAAAAACGAATAAAAAAGGAAATTGTTGTTAGCTCAAATAGAAGCTTTCATTTGACCTGATCGAATTGCTTTATTCTTATTATTATTTTTTCATTTGAATAAGGAGAAAATTAATGTTATTTTCGTTTATAAATGTCTTTATCAGCTACATCAAACTATTTATTTCGTTGTAAAAAAACTTCTCTAAATGTTTCTTTGTCGATATTCATCATATTATCATTAAAATGTATGTATCAAATATTATATTGATCAATTAAAATTTTTGGTGACGTTCTCGTCAACAAAGTGCGAGTGGTTAGAAGATTTACGTCATAATCAATTCTCAATTAACAGTTGGCAGTCTCGTGTTTACTTTTAATCAAACGAGTTGAACCCATTAATATTTTCTTCCACGGAATATTACGAAAGAATAACTCTCTCTCTCTCTCTCTCTCTCTCTCTCTCTCTCTCTCTGTCTGTTCCAATATTCGCTGTGTACACGTCGAAATTAATCATTTCAAAACTCCGAAGTACGCCGAGCACTCGGGCCGTTCATTAAAACCACTATAACTGATGAGGTTTGCGTTTTTAGCAGACCCCCGCCGGCATAGGAACGAGCGCAGGCTTTCAATTCCAATTCACGTCGGATATTAAGGAAACTCGAAGTCTCCCAGCTTTTCGTCGAGCAACCTGTATTTGAAACAACGCTCGCTTTCCGAGACATTTATTTCTATCGTATGCAATGTGCGTCCGCAAAATATGGTAAAGTAAGGTTTAATAGTTTTCCACATCAGTGTACTGTGAATGTTGTGGTCAAGAAAGAGGCTCGTTCCCGGTATCCGGCGGGGGGGGGGGGGGGAGGAGGAATTTTTAACTGTGGTTAGGGCCACGCAACAGTGTTCACTGTTGCACTTCGGTGGTCTGCGGTTTCGTCCGGTGAGTGAGGAAGCCGGGGCCCATTTTATGCCATTTTCTCTCATAAAAAAAAACTAAATCCCTCGGTGGCCATCCTCTGTACCTTTGGAGGGACTACGCGATCTTCTACGGAACGCATCGGTGTCCCTCGGTACTGCGCGTGAGCACGGATAGACCTTCCCCGATTCCCTCACCGTCTTGCAGCAGCACGAGACCACTTCGAGCTGCTGCCAATCCGTGTCTCATTTTAGTCGCCTTCTACGACAGGCAGGGGTTACCTTAGTCTTATTCTAGGAGCCCGAAACTAAAGGGCTGACAGGGGACCTGCACCTCACTTTCTCTTCACCACACCCTAAAGTTGACTGGTAGAAAATGCCATTGGCATTAAGTCCGCCTTTGTATTAGTTTGTGCAGTATCAAAATCAAAATCAAAAATATATTTATTCAAATAGACGCTTGCACGCTCTTATGAATCGTTTAATTTTACATCAAAAATTATGTATAAATAGGTTCGTAATGTACCAAATAAGGTCTAAATCCATACTACACAGGTCTCTCTGTCTCGCTTTCAGGCCAAAACTAATGAACCGATTTAAATTAAATTTGGTACACAGATAGTCTAGAGCCTGAGAAAGGACATAGGCTATTTTGTAATTTAATTTTTTTTTAAAGAAACATATTTATTTAAGGGTTTCAACGCAAGTGAAGCCGCGGTTGAAAAGCTAGTAAACAAATAAAATAAATAAACGGGTGTTGTCTGTTTCTGATAACGACACTTGCTGCTCTTAATGCAACATATCAAATATTTTGCGACGTCGTAATTAGGCCATTTTGTCTCGCTCCAAAACTCGTAGCTATTTCGTGTTCGTGTGTTGAGTTCGAAATTTGAGCTGCAACCGATATGCCGACGTTTGCCCGACGCTCCAGTTGACGCGCGCTAGTTTCGTATAGCATTGCGAGGATTAAGTAGAGTAATGACGTGATTACACGATTTCTCACATCTCGTTTCTGCTTCTCTATTTTAATCTGAATAGTTTGATAACTTCAAAATCTCAAATCATCACCACAGGTTCCTTAAGTAAGGTTCGTAAAGGTATTATGTTTAAATACTATTTTCAATGTCTGTAAGTAATGCCCTTCATAAAATTTCAGAGCAAAGTCGTTCTCTGTACAATGGGTATTAGTGCATAGCCACGCACATCTTATTAAATGCGGATTAGCAGAGTTAAAATATCTTTTTTTTTTTGTATTATTTTAAATATCAAAAATGTATTTTCGATTTCTTCTTGTTGTGTTCTTATTGATGCTTAATCCAATTTCAGTATCTTTTCCAGGGCCATTCGCTTTTCCTTAAAGTATAATACGTTGAGGAAAAGTGAACGCGGCCGCCCGCCCTTCCCGCCGAGAATTCGAAAATAAAAGCAGGTACAAGATCCCTTCGGCGTATTTAAATGGCCGTAGATTCTTGTGATGATTCTTCAGATGATGTTCAGCAAATGAATTGGCTCGTTGGATTTTATTACCAGTCGAATCGGGTTGGTGATTCACTATTTTCATACTCGCAACTCGATATCGCACACGAACGGAACGCACGCAGTACAGGAAAATATTTTATATACAAATGTTATAAATATACGAACACGTCCTTCATCGTTCAACTGCGGTAGGGCCACGCAAATGTCTTCGCTGTTGCGGATCCAACACTCTAAGTACCACGAACGCACCGAAGACTGAGGTGAAGTCCACATCAGGGTTATGCTTTTACCTTTCGTCCGGTGAGTGAAGTAGCCGAGGCCCACTCTATTATAAGGTGGCAACGCTTCTGCAACGGTGTTTTGCAAATGTCAATGGGCGGCGGTTATCACTTAAAATCAGTTAAACTGCCGGCTGGTTTGCCACGTTCTCTAGTGTTATATAGTTATATTAGTGTGCGCAACTATTTTGGTTATCACCTCGCTTACTGCGATCTCATCTAAATTTTCAATCGACTTCAAAAGATCTCTCAGATCAGGTTCTCAGTTCGATTTTTTTGTTCGCTGCCTTATAACATTCCACCGAACCGATTTTGATAATTGTATATTTATTTGAAAGTTTGTGCTTCCCATGTGGTACCATACTAATTTCATTGGTATTGGATCTTGGGCTCCGGAGATACCTTGGGAACTCCTTAAAGAGTGAGATATTTGAAGTCAGTTTTTTTTTTGTTACTAAAAATAAAAATAGACTTGTGTCTCATCCGCAAATAGTTGGTACGAGATAAATTGTTTCCGCGTTTTTTCGACTGTGACAGCCCTCGCGGCGCACGGAATGATTCCTTAGTGCGGGAGTAGATTCTTTTAAATACATATCCGTGGCCATAATAAAACCGACGTGTTAAACCTATCGAAATGTCAAACTTACAGGCGTTCATATCTCGCATCGCACCTTAAACTTTTCACGCGCGCTCGAGTTGGAAACTTAATATCTCGCTTCGTATTAATCACGCGGCGTCTTTACGCTTTGTTTTGGGGTGTAAATGGGGGTGGGGAGAGGGGGTGGGGGGCGTTGAATTGACCGGCAAATTGGTTTAACGTCGCCCGGGTTCTCATGTGTGGAATCCGAAGATATGAGCCTAGATAGCAGAGGGGCTGCTGCATTTAGTTACGTGTTAACTTCATTCCCTGGATTAAACATCGTGAGTTATAGATAATTAAGTTGGGAAGGGAATATGTAGTTTGTGTGTGAACTTGTGACGTCTTCCATGCTCTAAACCCAGCACGGTGAAGCGCATCGACCTCCAGTGGTTATTAACTTTCCACGGTGATGAGTATTTACGTCATTTTACTTGATCCGTTTTTCTATTGAAAAAGTTAGCAAGCGACCTGGCGATTCACCTGATGTTAAGTGATATCCTCAACAGCTGACCGCTTGTAGATACGTTTCCCACCATTAAACAAGTGGGTCCCGGTTACCTCACTCACCAGACGTAACGTGAAACTTTATATTTATCTAGGTCGTTTACGTTTACGTTTCACTTTATCTAGGTCTTCTGTGAGGCCGTAGCATT